GATTTTATGACTTTCAAACGTCTCTCTTACGTCACTTCAGTCAAAATGACTCACTTTCTCATAAAACTCTCAAATACTAGTGCTCTTTCAGCAAAGACACTATCAAGATCTTGCACTAAGCTCATACACTTACAAATCCAGGAGCAATGACTTCAACAATTCACTAGCAACACTCTACCATAAGATCTCAACCACCAAAAACAAGCAACAAAGAAATAATGCAAGAACAACTTACTTGGTAAGAGAATGTGGGCCCATAACCTATTGAAACATAGAAAGCATACTCCTCACAAGTAAGTTAGGACCAGCAAGGTTGCACTTTAACAAATAGAGTATGTTATGAGATAATTCTTCTCATGCCAACTCTTTCCTAATATACTAGTACCAAGGTACCAATTGCTATAACCCATATGAGATATCTCCTAGGCCTAGCCGTCTCCTTGTACTCTAATGCACTATAGACCAACACTTAACCTTATGGGATATCCCTAACAACACTTGTACTCTATTGACCACTAGCAACTACTCAAAGAGTTCTTTCCTTCAACAGTTATATTACATTATAATAACATGACTTGTAAAGTCAATATATTTTGGAAGTCTTATAGGACATTGTTATATAGCTCCTAGTTAAGAGTATATATGGAGGCAAGAATGAAGCCTTCTTTATTCTTGTCAATGCCTTTCTAGTCTTTAATCTTGTTTCAAGACTTTCTAAGTCTTCTTGTCTTTAATAATAGCCATTCTAGTTTAATTCTATATCAGCTTTGAGTGACTTTCTAATTCTTTTGAGTAACATAAGAGTATATTAAGGATTTTTTCTTCAAAATTCATGTCCTTGATACCAATCCATTAAGAATTCTTCTCCTAATGCTATTATTTTGGATTTATCTATGTGAATCCGACCAATGCATCTTAATTGGTAGATTAATTAAAAACATAGATTTGATTTATTTAATTATACAAATATTAAGGTTTTTTTGACTATTTAAGTGTTTATTAGAATTTAAAATCATTTATCAATTAAAAAAGTCTTATTAAAAGTTTTTTTTTAAAATAAAGTTTTAATAAGTCTTAGAAGCAATTATCTTAGTTGATTCAATATTTTTACTTATTATTGAGTATTAAGGATTAGTTATTTAAATCAATACCTTTATTTTTTACTTTCTAAATTTATTACTTATAAAAAACCTATCAATAATTAGTTAGTAATTAGAAGATCCATGAAAAAGAACTTTATATCTTTTTAGTTAATTATATAAAAAATAGAATTTTTATTAGATTTAAATTGAATTTATTTTATTATAAAAAAGTACCTAGGTAGAAAAATATAGCTTTAAATAGATAATATTATTATAAAAATATTGTAGGATTTTTTAAAATATATTTAGAAATTTTTAAGAATTTTTAGAGAAGATTTCAAGACTTTGGTAAAAGTTAGTTTTACCACCTTGGAAGCCATTATGAAAAAATGGAATAAGATTTGAAGCCAATATGAGATCCTTAGGCTATTTGGATATTTTTAAATGCTACGGTGAAGTCAAAAATGCAGAAATATGAATTCTACTAGTAGAAAGTAAGAAGACCAATAGCTAGTCTAGTCCTTATAAGAAAGGAGTTGCATAAGTCCCATATGGATTGTAGCACCTTGGATGTAAGTAGGAAGATAAGACTCACGTCTTAAGGCCTCTTTAAAAAAACCTATATATATTGCATGTGAATCTTAGTGAGGCTCGAATCCTTAATCTATAAGCAAGTTATTTTTGAGATAAAATATTTTTATTTAACTTTTTAATTATTCACTTCCTATTTTTAAATTTTTACAACTTATTCAAAGTAATTTGGATTTATATGTTGCTCACATCATTAGAAAGATAAAAAAATTATCTATCTAAAAATATATTTTTTAACATTTACTTTTACTTTTTATTGGATGAAAACTCAATGAATAGATTAAGAATTATTTTTATTGTATGCAATTATTTGTTTGTACTTATTTCACTTATTTTGTGTTATTCTTCTATTTATTCTTGTTTATTGAATCTTCTACTTCTTACCACTAATTCCAAGAAACTCTTAATAGATGCCATCTTATAATTTGAGTTGAGAGAGAAATTTATTCTCACAATCTATTGACTAAATCTTTACTAGTCCAAGTTTGTTCATTACTATAATCCTATTGATTCAAGTTTAATACCTAGTTAATCAAGCTAGTTAATAAAAATACTTAATAGTTAATAATTTTATTTTAAATATTTTATTTTGATTTGTAATTTTAATAATGAAGGATTCACATTTTTTATATGATATAGATTTATTATTAAAAGTATTTACAACCACATTTGAAGGGAGCAATTGAAAACACATAGCAAAGATAAAATTCTAATCTTTATAATAAGAATATTGTTTCGTTGTTATTGTATTGTCAAATTCTAATAACTTATTTATAATACAGATTAGAACAATAGAGCTCTTATCAATTTGATTGAATATGATTCATAAAATAATTTCATAGATTTATTGTTGATAATGCCAAATTTTTATTTAAATAAATAAGTCTTTGAATTAAAAAAAGATAAAATATATCATTTTTATTGATTTATTACAATATTCTATCTTGTAAAATCTTTAATAAATTTTTTTCTATAAAAAATAAATTTTAATTTTAAAAAGTTACAAAAGAATAAATTTTATAAGAATATATATTTTTACAACTTTGAAAATTTTTCTTTTGCATCTAAATCATGCTTTGATTAGTTTTTGCATTAAAAGATAAATTCATTAAATAAAGTAGTAATAAAAAAATAGATAAATAAGTTAAGAAAAGTAAGACAATCTAAAAATTAATAAACTTCATAGACTATTGTTGATACTTATTAATATATGATATACTTAATTTTTTAAAATTCTTCTTAAAATCATTAAATTATAATTAAAATAAATCACATATAGCACTTTTAATTTTTTTCATAAAATCCTTTATTCACAAAAATTTTAATGCAAGATAAATAAATTATTTATGTTTATTTTTATTCTTAGAATAAAAAAGAATTATTTTTCTTAATAACAAAAATATATATATTATTTACAAAATAATTTATTTTTTCATTGTTATAAAGTAAAAATAGTATTTACAAATTTAAAAGATATGGTATTATTTCTAAAAATTTATATTAAATTTTGAATATATATATATATATATATATATATATATATATATAAGATTATACACACTTTAAAAATCTATTTTAATATAAATCTTGGCTTAGATTTATTAGCCAAAGTATTTTGATATTAAAGATAACGTTTTTATAGAAAGTGGAAGCACTTAGATTTTGCTCTCTTTTATATGCAATTTAGATATAGTTCTTAATTATAATATTTAAAATCTAAAATTATACAAAAAAAAATCTTCAGAGTTAATTTTGTGAATTTATAATATTCTAACTATATTATCAATGTTTTTTAAAAATAATCTAATATTTAAAATAAAATATTTTGATAATAAATTATGCTTCTAAATTGTAATAAATTTATATTAATAGTCTAATTATCAACTAATGTATTTTTAAAATATTTTGATGTATATCATAGTTTTATAATAGATATTAAGATTAATAAAATTCAACTTAAGAAAAGCTAAAGAATGACAATTATATATTCATTTAAGTTTTATTGAACAAAAATCGATTATTAATTGAGTTATAAATTTATGACTATTAATTATTCTAAGAAGTGATATAATCTTTTAAACTTTAAAGATTTTAAAATACATTATATGAGTTATATCTTTAAAAGAAAATACAATAGTGATAGAGATTTATCAAGTCAAAACTAGTATTTTGGCTATTGTAGTAATATATAAGTTCATTAAATTTTTTTGATTAGTATCAATAGATTGCACTATTTATTAAAAAGAACTCATAATTTAAGAAATACAAGTAGAATTTTTAAAAAATAGTTGAAATGTACTACTTATTGATTATATATATATATATATATATATATATATTTAAAATCTAAATTGTTCAAAAATCATCTAACATAAAATTTTGATATACAAATTCATCAAAAAATGATTGGAACATAAATTTACAATTCATATATATATATATATATATATATATGTTTTCACCTACACATAATGGTAATACCAACCCTACAATCTTAAACATAAGATTAAAACCAACCTCACTGTCTTATGATTCATCATCCTAAGAATCAGTACGGTATGATCCCTGGTACCACAAATGACATAAGCTGTCGTTCAAAACATAACATTCATGTTTCATGACACTTTTTAATCTTTGACCAAGAAATATCTAAAATCATTTTTGAGGCGAGTCCGACTTATCCACAACCTGAGGAATCCAATCAAAGTTCTGATATTTCGTTTTCCTTTCATTCTCTTTTTGTCTTTTAACAATTGAATGAATCATGATTTGTAAACATGAACTTCCACACTGGCAAGCACTGAGTTTCTTCGGTGTAGATATTCAACGAAAAGGAAAATAGTGACAAAATCAGGTGTCTGATGTTTCAACACAATACAGAAAATCGTACAACTCTCAGTGTAGGATTTCGAAACATAGAATACACATAAAATTGGGAAGCTTTTGTGGATTGGAAGTATTGGATGACCAGTTCGTTGCGGCACAGGCAATCGACCCCCAGCGATGCAGAATGCTTATCGGCGCAGCGTCAGAGAAGAATCATGGCATTCGACTCTCACGCGCCGACCAAAAATAATGGCTTCGCTCACGACAACGCAAATGCACGCACAAGGAGCTGGTTCAATTCTCAATAAGAGCCCGGACCATCATTAGACTTTGAAGTCAGCATCTGATCATCACTATTGGTTTGTAGTTGGGCCTGAAGGCAGCTCCCATGCATCGCACGCCTATGTGTTTCTGGACAGATCGGAGCCCTTCGCTCAGACTCCGGGATTAAGAACACCAAGTCACACGGGACAAAGCTAGTGGTTCCTCATCCGATAATGTGATGGGTTTTGTCCGAAGTGGGGCTGGAGGGAGAAGAACATGCAGTGCCCGTGGTGCTGGAAGAGTCTTCGTACCCCGCGGCGACGGGTTTTAGTGGTAGCGTCGTGAGTTTCATGTTGTCGATCCAGGCCGAAAGTGGTCACCGGAGACCTGACACTTCTGGCCTCCAACTCTACGGGTCATTGGGCGTGAAATCAAGACAATCCAATCTTGCTTAACACAGAGATTTGTGCCACTTGAACCGGGATTATGTTTTGGCTTTTAGAGTTGTGAGCTTCACTGTGGTGGTTCTCGTATTGTGACCAGGACCCAGCTGTAGCGAAAGCACGGGATAGTATAAGAGGTCGAGCACTTCTTGTGCCCTGTGATCTTCTTGGGTTCTCCTCATTCGGTGCACAACACTGAGGTATTCGTCTCCGAATTGTCGCGTCTTTTGCTCGTTAAGAACTAGAATTAGGCGAGTCGTTGACGATTATGTTGAAGTGAGAGTTTTCTGTGCCTGAGTTCCTCTGCGAGCGAGTGGATATGCGAGGGACCAGTGTGTGTGGATTTCATTCCGTTTGGTGAGATGGGGCTGCTCCCCCGTGTGGTTGATGTTAGGTGTTGCAAGTACTGGATGTGGATTGACCCACCTCCCCCCTTCCATGTTCTAGTTCAGCCGGTCGACGTTATTTGTAATCCAAAATTCGATCTTTGGTACTTTAGATCATGTGCCGGTTTAATAACAATGGGTGATTGAGGATGTGCACCTTCGTGACGTGCACCTTCGTGACGTGCAACTTCATCGATGTCGTATGCATTAGATTGATCAAGCACGCGGTTCAGAGGCTTTGGGCTCGTAATGGTTCAGTTAGCCGGTGAGCTTAATTGCAATGGCAGTTTCAATGGGTGTGGTTCGAATTGGCTTGAGGCTAGAACTCAATGAGGTACCTGTCTCGGGTATCCTGCTTAGGTCTTCTGTCTCCTGTTTCTCTTTCCAGGAGTCTGCTTATTCGGGATATTCTTTGGAATGCGGAGAGGTACACTGCTTCTGTTGTTTGTGGTCATGCCTCTTGACCGTATCGAGGCCTTTGATTCGGGCTGTAAGTGCTAAATTGCGTTACAGACGAAGAGCATGTAGATTAGTGATTTGGCAGAGTTCCATTCTCACAGAACAATCTCGAGTCCTCTTCTTATTGTCCACTAAAGCTCAGCTCTACTTGGCACGTTGTCTGAGCAATGTCTCTAGATAAACAATTGGACCGGTGCTGGATTTCAAAATGAAATTTGAATAGATCCTATAGATGGTATTGATTTTCTTCCTGCGAACGGGTTGACACTGGGAATGTGAATCTGACCATTAACGAGCTTGCATTCTCCTGCGTTATAGAAGCTTTGATCCTCTATTAGAATCAAGTAGTTCGAGCTTACGAGATCCGCCCAAGGTAGAGTACTGTACATTGAGGATAGCATAGACAATCTCAATCCTAGCTCATTTATCAAATTCGTAGGGTAATCAAATATTAACACTGCGATGCACAATTGAAGCTCTCTTTTCAAGCACCTTCTACAGTCTATTCATTAAGAAGTTTATTTCCAGAAGTAAGGAATTGTTGTTAATGTAGAATAGACTAAATTTCATATTGTACCTGAACTAGTAATTGCATCAGTTGAAAAAAGAGACTTAATATTAGGATTTTCTCTCTAGTAGCCGCTCATTGCTACTCGAAGTTCGACCTATAACCTTGTGTGGATGCAGTAGACATGTGCTGATGAGAGAATCTGTGGCTCTCCAGCTACTTAAGCATACTTTGTGGGGTCTGCAAATCACCAAGTGATATATTTACGTACTGATATGGTTTATTTTCATTTCAAAATGCCGTAAGTTCTGGGATAGTTGTGAAGGTTCTGGCCTGGGTTTGATCAACAAACGACGAACTGGTGTTCAACATCGTCTGAGAAAGCACTGATTGGCTAGGCCATCTTTCAGAATGGGAACTACTGCAGTGATGGCCCCTCCAGCCCTTCAGAAAAACCTTGAGTCAGACCAGCCACGGCAAGTAACAAGTGTGATTACTGGGTACCTCTCTATTGTCGTGCTGGGTGCATCTGGAGATCTTGCGAAGAAGAAGACTTTTCCAGCCATTTTCAACCTTTACACGCAGGTACAATGTTACTCACCCGACTTTCGTGTGTATCTTAATCACCTCTCGTTTGGAGGTTGACGTGGTCTCAGACTCTCGGTGTTTACGACGAGCTTTGTGTCTTGTAATGAAACTAAGTGTCTTCGAAGAAGTTTCATTGTCTTATATGTGATATTAATTCCCAAGATGTTTGAAGTTCGAATTACACTGTCTTAATAGGATATCAACTGCTTAAGATTATTGCGATTTCGCTTGCTTTTGCTACTCTTTCTTCCCAATTTGTTACATTGTGGGACTTGCTAACATACAACAGGGCTTCTTGCCGGACGAATTGAAAATTATTGGGTATTCGAGGTCTAAAATGACTACCGAGGAGCTGCACACGACAATTCGAGGGTACGTTGTTCTATTGTAACGAATCATTTTACCTCCAATCTTGCATAAATCTAGTTGCACTGTGTTCCTCATTTCTATTGTACTTCGTCAAGTTCAACGTCTATTGGCTCTGTTGTCGACGTCGAAATTTTGAAATGTAAGTGCTTGGTTTCGCTCATTTTCCTGGCAGACTGTGTGATTTAAATGAATCAAGCCAGTTATCAGGGTTTATGGATTGTCAAAATTCTGGCTGTCCAGCTGACCACTGTGAGGCACTCGAGAGGATCTGCTCTAATTCGCATGCAGTGACCTTTCGTCCAAATTGAGTCTGAGTTTCATGATGTTAAGATTCAGCGTTAATTTTTTTATTTCACTCATCTAGATTCGACTTGAAGTTGACTATGGAAAGAACTAAGTCATTAAGTTTTAATTCGACAGTAGCTTTGACTCTGTCATTCTTAATCGTGCGCATTTTTTGTAGTTTAGGTACTTGAAAGCAGATAGGCAAGATCCAACCAAGAAATCTGAGGACGTCATTCACCAGTTTCTGAGCAAGGTATTCATGTTCCGGATTTCATTCGCGTTTTGAAATTGTCAAAGCTCTTTGGTTTCTGGCACGAATATTTCTGCTGACGGGCTTCTCGTATGGCCAATGATTTCTTCATAGGGGCAATTTATTTATTTATTTATTTATTTTGTATCTGTATTTCGATTTTCATTTTAAAGTCACTATTACCGAAAAAGCCAAGTCACATCAAATCACCTCATAGATCTAGCATGATTGTGCTGGAAATTCGTCAATTCACACTTATTGGTCGACAATTGTGCAGGTTACGTACATGCAAGGAGCATACGATACTGATGAAGGTTATATCAGAATGAACGAGGAGGTGTCACGTTTTGAACTAGAGAAGGATGATAAAGATTCTTCCACACACAGACTTTACTACTTCGCTTTGCCTCCTTCCGTCTATCCGGAGGTGAGCGAAAAGGTCCGGAAACACTGCATGAATCCAAGTAAGCTTTCGTATCATTCATACCTCAAGTGTATTTACGCTCTTTTATCTTCATCCTCACGGCACTTTTCTGATATTGCAATCATCCCAACTTCGATAAAAACTTCTGGGTTGAGCTGAATGTGTCACTGCTATTTCCTCAACAGGAGGATGGACAAGAGTCATAGTGGAAAAACCTTTTGGTAAGGATTTAGAGTCGTCAGAAGCTTTGAGCTCTGAGCTAGGAGCTCTCTTTACAGAAGAGCAGCTCTACCGTATTGATCACTATTTGGGGAAGGAGATGGTACAAAATTTGGTAAGTACCAGGTCAGGATTTTTTGTTTTGTCTGTATGAAATATGCTGAAGTCCGTGGCAGTCTGTTCTGCTATGAATCAAGTCATAACTTGTGATCACTAGATCTCAGCTCATTTTGAAATCTCTTCTTTAATCTGACTGCACTGGAAATTGTTGCGCAGTTGATTATGAGATTCGCCAACCGATTCTTTCAGCCTATCTGGAATCGGGACAATATTGCCCATGTCCAGGTATGTTATGATTCTCTAGTCAGAAGACTTGCGGGATTAAGTGAGGTTCTGTGTTTGGTGAGGTTGCCAGAATTAGGGGTGGGAAGGTAGTTTTTAGTACATGATTCCAAGAGATAAAAAAAAAATTCTGCGATCTTGAGTGGGTTTTTCTCAGTTCCGTGGTCTTCTTTCTCAAAGTTATTTTCCGGTAAGAGCTATCTCTTTGTTCAAAAACACGTTAAAATAGATCAATGCAGTCTATACATCTCTATTTCATAGTTTGAGAAGGTGTTCGGATGTGGTTACCCTCTGATTATTTTCTAGTTTCATCTTGCAGATTGTTTTCAAGGAGGACTTTGGAACTGAAGGACGAGGCGGCTACTTCGACGAATACGGGTAGGTCACTAAGATTTCCCGGTCATTGCTTATATACACACACGTTAACACACCAGTTGCACGCAGAGGAAATCAGTGGAGAGAATTAAAATATTTTAAACTTGCTTCTGCTTCACAGTCGCTTCAAGCTGCAAGCTTGCGTAGTAGCAGTTGTGCATCTGGAGATGTGTAACAGTGAAATTTTGTAGGTTACTCATGATTGTATATCCTTGAGCATTGCAACAATTTTTCTGTCGTATTCTTGAAAGTGCAAGTTACCACTTGTTTCGCTGCAGAATTATCCGGGACATCATTCAGAATCATCTTGTACAGGTTTGTATACAAACATGACGAGGCTGATCGCTATGGACCACTTTAAATATTACAATGCAAGTCTCAATGAAAGCCTAAGTTCATTTAAAGTCATAGACCCCAAATTAGTAACTGAGGTCTCCTGCTTTTCTCAAAATTTTCTTCCGCATTATTTTGTCTTGATGTCAGATTGTAAATTGTGACCTTTGGAAACCAACTTGATTATAATTTGGTCCTTAACAAATCCACCCAGACATATCTACGCAAACCAGAACCCGTTACAGATTCCACAAGGCAGCTAAGTGGAGTGTTTTATGAGGCAGGTGCTGTGCTTGGTGGCCATGGAGAAACCAGTTTCACTAAGTCCGGAGCACATTCGGGATGAGAAAGTCAAGGTGCGGTTACAGTCCCTGTGAATATGGATTTCAATTTACCTTCTCTAGCAAGTGCTATATACACCTTTAGGCTTGCCAAATTGTTGTATGAAATGAAAACCGCATCAAGTATAGGTTACAACTAGAGCTTTTCTAATCTATATAAGAAAGATTATCCTGACCTGTCTTCCTGTTCTGTTCTATAATGAGCAGGTTCTACAATGTGTTGAACCCATCAATGAGGAACAGGTGGTGATTGGACAGTATGAAGGTTATACAGATGATCCTACTGTTGCAAAGAGTTCCAATACTCCTACTTTTGCATCTCTTGCTCTTCGTATCAACAACGAACGCTGGGATGGTATGCATGATTTGGCAAATCAGCGACTATCTTGTAGCTCTTCATTTTTCGTTCTGTGAAATTTCATCTGAGGTAGCATTCATCGAATTGAATTCTCCTTCACGTTGTTTTGACGTGAGGTTTTTTCTGGTTGTTGTAGGCGTACCTTTCATCGTGAAAGCTGGGAAGGCGTTGGATGCTAAAAAAGTCGAAATACGTGTGCAGTTTAGGGACACTCCTGGTGACATCTTTAATTGTATGATGTTTTATCTCTGTTTTTGCTGGGGAATTATTGTTTCTTAAAGCAAGTGAGCGAAATACTAATTTAATGATATCAATCCTCAAAGTTTGGCATATTCTCTTGTTCATAATCAGAGAGTCAGGGTGCTGTTACTAATGGATAGACAACTGTCAGTTGTGTTCAGGCAAGAAGCTAGGCCGAAATGAGTTCGTAATGCGTCTGCAACCAAAGGAGGCGATGTACATGAAACTAACGGTTTTTAAATGTTCCCTCACTGTTTCATTGAGTGCTCAGGGCGAGTCTTATGATTGCACAGTTCCTTTGTTACAACGTTCAACACAGCAAGACAAAAAGATGGTTGTTGAGAAACTATCGTGACGGCACAATGTTTACCTCATCACACTAGAAAATGATGAGCGCCAGCAAAATAACGAAAGACGCTTTTCTGGTGACAGGTGAAGGAACCTGGCTTGGACATGAAGGCCATACAGAGTGAGCTAGACATGTCGTACAATCAACGCTATGAAGAAGTTGTCATACCAGAGGCTTACGAGCGTCTAATTCTTGATACGTAAATGCCACCACTTCTATTTCATCAATTGTAGAGTTACCAGTTGTTTACTCTTGCTGCATTTCGCATATTTTTCTAGAGGCTGCTTACTGTCAAGGATAAAATACGGGATCGTTCAGTTCAATGACCACGTTGGGTAAACAGTTATCAGTCACATATTGTTGAAGCCTTCTCGTGTTTGATCAAATGCAGTATTCGTGGGGATCAACAGCATTTTGTGCGAAGAGATGAGTTGCGGGTAAGTTGGGACCTGAACCCAGATATATGACTCGAGCTCGACTTTTTTATTTGGAATTTCCGATTACCCTAAGTTCTGCAGGTTTTGAACACAATCGTTAGCTACTTGAATCTTCATTGCCTTAGAAAATCACATCCGTCATTCGTCTTATTGTTCAAAGTTGTATGTTTGTATCTGCTGTTGATACAAACGCTTAAATGTTGTGACTACGCAGGTTGCCTGGGAGATATTTACACCTCTCTTGCATCGCATCGATGCTGGAAAGATTCCACTGCTACCATACAAGCAAGGGTCTCGAGGACCGCGTGAAGCTGATGAGTTAAATGCACAGACAGGATATGTGCGAAGTGAGGGCTACATTTGGAAATCCCCCACAAATTAGGCAACTGCCGTAGCTACGTAGCTGTGTTTGTTTGGTTGCATGCCCCTGAAAATGCGGGGGGATGCTTAACTTACAACCTTGAAGGCTGTACTTTTGAACACTTGCACTATTTCTATGTTCTTCAAGATGTCTTTTAAACTCCAGTTCCGTAAATTTGAATAGTTGTGGAGAATTACTGTCGTCGCATTGGAGTGGTTCATATATATATATATATATTTATATTTTCACTAGCCCCACAAGCGACCCGACGTGATCCTACACAATCAAGATTTGTCATGGCCTCGTACATAAAAATACTCAAGACTAGGCTGATCCATGCTCCAGTGGTACCTACCAGTTTAGAGACAGGAAGGAAGATAGAAAAGATGCACAAGGATGATTGCATGGAGCTAGAGCTGATCAAGACGCTTTTTTAGTGACAGGTGAAGTTAATGGTTTAGTTAATATTTATTGAGGTTTCAAATAACAATAGTAATTGATTAAGATTTACTTAGGATGTTTTTGGAATTTGATTAGGATTTGGTGTAGGATTAGGATTTAGAATTTCATTAGGATTTAATGTAGAATTTGATTAGGACTTAGGATTTTATTAGGATTTCATTAAGGTTTGATCTAGGATTTGATTAGGATTTATTAAGATTTGATTTCAATTTATTTAGGATTTATTTAATAGTTCTATTTTTGTTATTTAAAAGGATTTCTATTATTTCTTTAAAATTTTCTATTTATAATATTTTTTTAAGATTAGTATTATTTCTTTAAGGTTTTATTTTTGTATTTCTTTAGGATTTTTTTAAAAAAAATTAATTATGACTTCTTTATATTTCTTTTGTAACTTCTTTTAAATTTCTTTTGAATTGGTAAAAATTTTGTTAGAATTGTTAAAGATTATTTAAAGTTTATTTAAGGCTCTATTAGACTTGACAAGATTTTGTTGTTGCATTTCTACTTACCTTCCAAAGTTAGGTGCTTGGTGCATTTTCAAGCAAGATTACATGTAATACAATAATGGTAGTCCATATAATCTAACAATTGAAGCTTTCAACTTAATAATTAATAGCATAACCCACACCCAAGTAGACTATAGTAATCTTCTAACATGATGTCAATTTTGCATGTCTACCACCTATCTAATAAGAGATTGCCTGAAAATCCATCTAGAGCAAAGATTAGAGTAGACTGGAGGGTGAAACCAAACAATTGCATCTCCAAATTATCTATGTCAAAGACAGAATTTCATTGCTAAGACCAACGGTAATCTCTTTAATTAAAGGGAGGTAGAATCTTCTCTTCCTTTACCTCCAAGTAAGATGGCAGTTCTATCTTTGGAGATCCTGAATTCTAACTCCACTCCTAGTCCAAATAACTCTAGAAGAAGAGGTGGGCAAAAAAAACTCAAACAAAGGCCAAAGAGATAGAATAAATTAAGAAGATCCATACTAGGGAAGCCTAGAATAGACAACATGGCAAAGCTAGGAAAAAGCTAGAGGATGGAAATCCTCTTTCAATACAAGCAAATTCTCTAACATTAACAAATTTAATAATGCTCAAAATGAATAGACTAAGAGGAGGCATAACCTCACCTACAAAGAAATAGAAGCTAGAGTATGACAAGCGATGGAAGCTCAAGCACCTAATTCAAAACTAACTTTGACAATAAAATCAAGCCAAGTCATGGGAGACCTCGCATTAAATCCATCAAGTCAAATTAAATTTGAGTAGGCCTTGAAAAACCACAATCGGCTACAAGACAAAACAAACTCTACTAATGAGATATCTCATCTGGAGATAAATAAAGAACAACTCATAGGACCTTTGCCTCTCTCAATGTAGATGGATTGCGCAAAAAATAATTCAGAGTTTGAAGCAGTAAGAAGAGAAAATCCATTTGAATCTTGAAAGAAGATTCTATTGCAAATTCTCCAAAGGACAATATTTAGTTTCAAATCTACTTGTTTAGATTTTAATTTGAATCAAGATAATATTTTTATGGCTATTTTTTTGGAATCCCACAACAACCATCTCTTAGATATGATAGTAATATCAAGGCCAATATACATCTAAGTGAGTGAACGAAGATCAGAGGATATATTATAATCCATTGTTACCAGTAGTAGAACTCAATAGAGGACAAATAGAGATATCACCAACTAGTAAACACCTTCGTTTATAGAATGGTTATATGACTAAAGATTAATAAGTGAGCTACTAAATATCTCAATCTGAGTTAAACTATCAACCAAAATGATTGTAAGAAGAAGTCAACATCTCCGTTCTTTGAGATGCCACCAATCCTTTTACCTCATAAAACAAAGGAAAATAGGAAGCTTTCTTCTACAAATTAAGAATAGTAACTTTGAAGTTCAAAAACTTTTCTCTCCATACTAGTTTATGCAATTATCAATATTAATTTAAAATATGCAGAATCTAAACAACTCTACCAAAGTAGACATAGTTCAAAATTATCTCAAAATATTTATATTCAAAATAGATGTTATCTATATTCAAGAGCATGAATTAAGAGGATTGAGACTTGTGGCTGTTAAACTCAAATTTTGGCTTGAAGCAGGTTTCTTCAACAAAAAGTGCTACAACTTACAACCATATAACTTATGAGAAAGAGTAGGTAGTAGAAGGATTGGTATGTGGATTTCTCTCCACATATTATAGCTTATTAAATCTATTGGCTACTCCTAGTTTTGAAGAGCTCAATGGATCTATCTTAGAAGAGTAGTCAAGGAAGACATTTCTATTTAAAATATGTATGGACCACATAGCACATGATAGAAGAATGATCTTTGAGAAGAATTGCTAAGAAATCTAATAGTAGATTGCAAATAGATATTGATGGGGAACTAAAATATAATAGATCAAATGTTTAAGGGGCAATCATATTGAAATTGAAACAATAACTATTCAGTGCCTTCATAATATATATATATATATATATATATAAGTCAAAGATGTATTCTTTGCCTTCTACATATTAAGATTTAGTTGGAACAATATGCAATGAGATGGATCTTACATATTAGCACAATTACACTATATATACATCTTTGGTTCCTTCGAGAATATTATTGTCAATTCAAAATATATTATATTTGAGAATAGCTTATATTCTAATTATCTTATAATTTAAGGATAAATTTTATTGCATCCAAAGGCGAAGAGAAGTTTTCTATATATGATGAGCTCTTAGTTCTTTGACAACATTGAAGTCTAGTCTTAGATCAGGAAGATATGGCTGTCTCATCCAACACAGTTTTTCTATGAAAAATTATGGCATTGTGTTTTCTATTATAAAATATTTTGTATAAATCAAGCTGCAGCTTGTAATTGTAAGGAAGAAATTTTATAAAAGAAGTTCTCTGTAGCAACTCTAACCTACAAGTCTGCCTTAGAGATGTTGCCTACTAAATTCGCCTTATAACATGCACCAATTGTCTCCAACAACTAAGACAATAGAAGATTACAAGATAAAAATTCCAATCCAAAATTAAATACATAAAGGCTTTAGATAAATGCTCCCATGATTTTTTCAAGGCCCATATGGAAAGGCAAACTATGGCCTATATTACAAAATTAAAGAATGAAGGTAGCCAACTCCAGAATCATTTGAAGACTATGGCTTATATTTGTCAAAAAAATTTATAGTTGATTATATTGAGTTTGCGCTCCTACAACAACCTCATAAGAAGCAACAAATCAAGCTAATCAAGAGGTCATTGATAAGCTAAGCCTCAAGAAAAAACAAAATTTGAAGAGGCCTCTTACTCTAGTTGAACTCTCTAAAGTACTAAAAAAAAATGAGAAAAGATAATTTTTTTTGGCCTGGAAAATTTATTTTAGAATTTTATTTAATCTTTTGAGATGTTATGAGGCTAGATTATTTTGCCATGATGTAAGATAGTATATGCAAAAGCCACCTCCCTCCAAAATTAATCTAAGGGCTTATAGCACTAATCTACAAAAAAAAACAAAACATGACTTCTAAAATTAGAGACCAATGATCTTGTTTGATGTAAGATACAAGATCTATACAATGGCCTTGTAACTTAGGCTTCAATCTATATTTATGAATATTATCAACTTAAATCAATCAGCTTTCTTGTCAAATCAATTTATTTTAAACAACATATTATTGATACATAAAATAACCATTCATTTTATAATATGATAAACATGGACGAAGAAGATAAAATAACCATTCATTTTTTTAAATTAGATTTCTCAAAAGTTTATGACATGGTAGAGTAGAAATTTTTATTTTCTACAATGGAGGATATGGAATTATCTAGGGATTTTAATCACACAATCAAGCTACTTCTTTAACTAACTAAAGCATGTGTGAAGATTAATAGATCCTTCTTAAAACCTTTTTCAATAGAGAAAAGAGTGAGACATGGTTGTCTGCTAGTTCCTTATCTATTTCTTATGGTATTAGAAGTCTTTTATATAATGATCATGAAGGAAGCAAGCTTGGGATTGATAAAAAAGAATTCAATTACCTCTAGTTTCCAAACAACAAATTATGGCTCAATATATGGATGATATATCTTTAAATTTGTTGAGAGAAGAGTCTAACATATACCATGCTATATATACACTTGAAGCATTTTATCTAGGTTCAAGCCTAGTATTGAATTTAAACAAATCAAATAGATATTAAAAGGACTATGCTATGCCAAACTAGCCTCTATGGACAAATACTTTAGGCATCACATGTACTAAAGAAAATAAAGTGAAAAAATTATTAGGAGTTCCATTTGATACGTCTTTGTCCTCTTTAGACTTTGACTCCTTCCTACAACAAAAAATTAATAAAAAATTAGAACATTAGAACTTATGATTAATTAATATTATAGGTAGATGAGTAATTATTAATACAATTCTACTCTCTAGAATGTTCTACTTTATATTGATTTAAGGATGAATTAAGAAAGTCATATCAAAGATCAAAGCTTCTTTAATCAACTATTTGGGAGGAGGTTGAATGTAATGGACTCAAACCAAACTAACATGGCTTTAATGTTGTCAACTTTGGAACAAAGGTGGAAATAATCTTATCAACCCTTTGGATACAATGGTGGCCCTTTTAGGCAAATGGATTGTCAAAGCAATGGCACCAATCAAATCAAATCTGCACATATTATTAAAAAACATCTAATGAAGTAGCAACCATA